CCCACAGGCCTGAGTGAAGGCCTCTGATACACACTGCCCTGCCCTTTCATTTCTCTCCCTCACACCCCCTTTCCTCATAAGTCAAGGATCCTGGACCACTTACATATTATTAGTGCACACACACATGAACCCATGTGCATGTACACATGAAGAAGAGTCTAGAACGGCAGACATTCCACCTTACTTATAAATCCCTGTGAGTGCTCCCATAGCCTACCCTTGTCAACCATGTTTCCTTTGAATTCCCAGAAAAAAAAAATACAATCTCTAATTGTTTCTCTTTAAGAGACTCCAGCAGCTGTCCTCCTTAGCTGCAAGGGAGTCCCACTTGTCTAGACCAAGGTGTTGGAGAAGAATGGATCCCAGCATCAGAAAAAAGGCAGGCTCCTGGGACACCACATTCTGGTCCCTTTCACTACTTGGACCTCATACCTACCACCTAGGACTGCCCTCATTTCCTCTCACCCAGAGCTTCTCCCACAAGTTGCTTGCCCCAGTGACTCACACTGTCCTCAGCCCACCTCACCAGACCACCAGCTCACCCAGGTGTCCACACTTCCTATGTATCTGGTTGACCACACAACCAAAGGAGATGGGAGATGGGATGTAGGGAGATAAGAGACAAGGAAAGGGAAGCTCTTGGAGATGCTTCCACCAGACACACCTGTCTGCACCCCTCCATCCCAGGCTTCACAGTCTGCAGACGCCCAGGGAGCGTGAGGGAGGTCTGTGTGAGCCAGCGAGAGAGAGAGAGAGGAGACAATGTCTGCATGTGTGTGTCCCTGTGCATCTCTCCCTCTGTCACTGGCTTGCTCACACTTCTGCCCACACTTTCTGCTTCAGGAGCCGTTTGGCAGGCTCTGAGAGGCTGTTGGATAGAATCCAGCTCTCCCTAGGAGGAGAGCATAAACTTCATAAACTGCGTTTACTTTAATGCACGCTCCTGGAGTGGCTTTCCTCCCCTTGTCTGCTCTGTCTGGATCACATTTTATCCCTGCCCCTGTGTGTACCCAGACCACCCACACCCACACCCACACACCCACCCCCACACACACACACACACACACACACTCTCTCTCTCTCTCTCTCTCTCTCTAGCCAGTTCTTCTGAAAAAGATGAAGCCTGGGGCTGGGGGCAAATAGGCAAGGTGTAAGAGCCCTGTTTGAAGGAGAAAGCCTCAGCCCAGCCCCGGTAAGTCCCCACGATGGCCGTGCACTTGTCTCTAGTGGAGATGAGCACAAAGGGTGCTTTGAGGCAGGCAGGCGCCTCAGAGAGGGAGGGATGCTGACATTTCAGGGGGATAGCTGAATTAGGAGCCACCTGGAGGCTGGGCCACAGGGCTCCCAGGAAGGGAGGGAGAGAGAAGGCGAGGCCTCCAGGGCAGGTTGAGGTTTGTGAGGCCTCCCTTGTCTGGTGCTGTCAAGGTCAGCAGGTTCGGGTTCACTGAAGGGTCAGGATGGTTTGAATTACTGGCTCTGCAGCAACTCAGCTCTGAGGCTCATGATCTGTTGCCCAGCCCCAAGCCAGGCCCAGCCCTCCCCCAGCCCTTCCCCAGCCCTCCTTGCTTTTCTACCACATGGGGCAGAATGGGGAGGGTCCTGGAGACCCCTAAGGCCATCCGGGTTCCAGGGCTCCGTCCCGGCCACCGGCTGCCAGCAACGGTCAAGGAGGCTGCTGGGATCCGTTCCTCTGTCAGGCAGCAATCCTCCACTCTCCCTTCCCTCCAAACCCTTTTGCTGAGGGGACCCCATGCCCCAGCCCTTCTTAGTTGCCGGCTGGCCTGCTGAGGACGAGGTGCCTGGGGAGGCGAGCCCAGGAGCAGCAGGGCCTGGCTCCTCCTTCCTGCATCCAGACCCTGTGCTGGGGTAAGAAAGGCAGAGCTGAGGCAGCGGACTTCTCACGCTGCCCTTGCCGGATGGAGGAAGGAAAAGGATGCCTATCTGCAGGGCTGGAAGGTAGCTGCCAAGTGGAAGACTAGGAGGTGAAGGTGCACCTGATGAGATACGTGTGCACAGGCGTGTATAGACATGGGGGAGGGGAGGACTGGAAGCCTTTGCTGAGGAAGTTGTAATACCTTGCTACACACACCCCAATTTCCAGCGGTGGAGGGACACATACAGACCCCTCTACAGCAAATCTGTATGTTCTGTCCTCGGGGGTGAGGTGGACCTATGTATTCTGACTTTCTGGCACCTTATAAAAAAGATACTCTTTTGTGCTAAATCTCAACATACTTCTCAAGCAACCAAATATAACTTTATCTACAATGGCATGAACTGGCTGGGGAACTATGGTTGTGATTTGGCTGCAGTCTCTGGTATAAACACAGGGACTGCTGTACAAATTCATGACTTGTGTCAGCTACACACACCATGGCTAATCCCTGGTCCTTCCCCACAGAAAAAAACGTAAGTCCACATGTGCACAGGGGCCAGGGTAAAGGTCTTAATGAAGCATTGACATAACCTATAGCTATGCATGGTCAGTGTTCAATAGGCTTTTGGCCAACATTACTTAGAGTTTGGCTAAAATATGTGATCCAACTAAGATAGAAAAACTTTCCCCCTCAGGTATGAACGGTCTAATTTTCCAGGGTACTAAGAAGATAAAATCACAACAATGAACGTGTGTTCATAAATGGGGGAGATTTTTTTTTGGTGGCTTAATGAATGCTGACCTTTGGATCTTAGCCCTTTCTTGAACTGGAGTGGACATTAGCCAGGTTTTGAATATTTGCTGGAAAATGAACATAGGGTGAGCTTTGTTGACGCAGCCAAACTCAGACACTTGTCTAGACGGGTGATGAACTTGGTTTCTGGACTTTCATAGAACCTGCCTCATGAGGGGTAGTATAGTGTGTGTGAAGTCATATAATTCCAGCAACACTCCATAGAGTATGCTCCTTAGAGAAGCTCAAGCTCTGCTCTGCTTCCCTCTGCCAATGTAACGTCTTCTCACAGAGCCAGGGCATGAACGCACAAACTCCTCACAGAAAGGAGTGAATGCACAAAGTGGCTCAGCCTTTCCCAGCCCACAGTGTAAGCTCACTGCAGGGCTCTGAGAACACACCGCCCTCTCCAGCTCTTGGGTGGGTATTCTCTAAGGAGGGCACTGGATGGCTGGGTGTGTGTAAGGATCAGGTGGTAAACAGACATAACTATGCTCAAACGCTGGGCTCGGACTAAGGAGTCAGCACAACATAGTGCAACCTCACTGTGTCTCCTGGGCCTCCTCGGCATCCAGCCCAACTCTTTCAGGCTGAATCCTGTCCCATTCAAATGATGTGTGTATAGTGAAACTTCCCTAAGATCTTCTGTGCAGGAAGTGCTCAGATTCCTCTCTGCTTCTGCCAGTTCCCTGCATCTGGACCAAAACGCCTCAGAGAACAGGGCTGTGGGCCTGAGAGAGTTAGGCTCTGGCTCCTGCCTCTGCCTACAAATGTCTGCCCATGGAAGCCTACCGAGGAGCATTCACCTGTAGATGCCCCCATCACCTTCTCTAGGACCGCAGGTCAGCACCCCAAGTCCCAGGGTCTGGCAGCTGGCAGCGGCAGCCTCTCTCTTCCCCAGGGTCCTCCTTACCTATCTTTTCTGACACCAGCACTCCTCCTGCTGCCCCTCTAGAAAGAGACCAGGGAAGGGAGAAGGGAGACCAGGGCACGCCTGGTTTACATTAATGAGATACACCGAGTGTAATCCAGCCGTGGAGCCAGCCTGCAAAAGGAGGCGATCGCAGGCGGCCAGGAGCAGAGCTGCTCAGGTAATTGGTTTATCTATCTGGAAGCAGGGGGAGCAATCTCAGCACAGACAGACTAGCAGTAAAGTCTCTTCCTTAAGGCTATTTCCTTTGTCTTTTCAATTGCTTGCACATCCATGTGAGAGAGGGAGAGAGTGTTAAAGAGAGAGGGAGAGGGAGAAATGTTAATTTGTGAATTAATGGCTTTTCTCAGCGGAATTGTAAATTCAAATGTCACCTCACACGGTGACACCACTGGCTGGTCTGCTGAAGAAGCAATGATAAGATCCCCCACCTCCCTCGGTGCCCCTCCCTCCCCAAAGATAGCTGTGGAGTGGAACATGCTACTTTTAATTTGCAATAACAACACAACAGAGGTATGCAGTAATGACCGCCTTCTTCCACCCTCCTCCTGGCTTCCTTCCCCCCAGTCCGTTGGCTCCCCATTTCCTCTCTCCCCACCCCTTTGCTATTCTGAAACAACACCTCACCTCACCCTGCTGGCCCCCCACCCTACACAGCCAGGGCCTGATCACATGGGGGGGGTGCCTTTGGAATTGACGATGCTGCAACCCTCTCTTCTCCTTCAATAATCAGGGAATTAATGACCCTGAAGTTAAAGTGAGGCTGATACCGAGGCCCTGCCCAGTGCTGGGAAAAAGCCTTCATTGTTTTCAAGCAGGAGGCGGGCAGCAGTGAGGGAGATTCATGGATGGAGATTGAATATGCAATTTTCTTTCACCTTGCCAAGAGCTGCCCCTGGGCTGTGCCTGGCCTAAATTTTTCCTTTTACCATCTCTGCCTTATCCGGCCCTCCCACCTCCCTTCCATTCTTTCCAGAAAATTACCTTCAAAATTGATTTCCACTTTTACAAACAAATATAATGGGAACACAGGAAAAAACTTGGGCCGTGATGAATTAGGGCTGTCAGGTGCTTCCAGGTCTCCTTTGCTTTTGTTTTACTACCCGATCTGTTCTTTGTTTTTCCAAGGGCTGGAAAAAGTGCCCCCCATTCACGGAGTGCCTGACCCTCCAGGCCACCGGGGCCTCAGCCCCCAAAAGCCAGCAGTGGCCCACGGTGGAAGTGATCCAGGCCCTGAGACTCTGTTAGCCTCTGGGTTTCCCAGTGGGAGCCTGAGCTACCTCCTCCTTTTCTGCTCTCTGACCCTTAGGAACCCACTCTTTTCGGAACAGTCTCTAACCACACCCCCTCCCCAGCTACTTCCCTTGACCCCCACACCATGTTCCCTCTGGCCCCCATACCTCTTAAAGTCCAGACCAGATGCAAACCTCCACCTCCTCTAATGTGGGCAGGATCAGTGTATACCTCGACTGGAGCAAATGAGAGACAGACAGACACTGAGAGATCCCGAAAGACAGGCAGGTAGAAGACTGGGGGCAGGATCCCAAGATTGGGAGACCAGACTCCTCTTCAAAGGGCTACAAGGCTTCTGAGCGGCAATTCCCACATGGCTGAGGGTGTAAGGGTTCCCAGCTTCAGTCTCCCTAGCCTTGGGCCTCAGGCCACCCCTGGAGGCAGGCTCAGGACAGTCCATCCATTTGCCAACAAAATGCAGGGTGATTCCTATAGGGCTATTTGGGCAAAATTATATGCACATCTGTGCCTCAGGACCATGGGCCTCACCATGCTCAGGCCTGGTCTAGAGCTCTGCCTGCTCAGTGGGGCTCATGGACATGCACCTGCTCACGTCTGCTTGTCTCAAATATACACACTACCCGGAAAACTGCGTCCCTGTCCAATGCAGGGTATTTCATGTCCCTTTTCACCCAAAGATCTCAGAATGGTAAAAAACACACACATACACACATTTGCAAAAACCTTGCGAAGAACTGCACATGTATCCATAACACAAACATATGTTTCCCAAGGTAAATAAGCAAACTCGCATGGGGGAGCAGAAATGCAGAGCGATGGATAGAGCAATAGATAGAGTGATGCCTCCCTGTTAGAAAAGAAGAGATCGTATATTTTTTGACACACATCTAAAATGCTTGTGGATGCCAAGAGATGATGGTGGCCCATTCAGATAACCTCAGAGAAAGCAGAGGTGGACAAGGTCCTCCCAGTCACACCTGGGAGGCCGACATCTTTCCCCTGTCCCATTCAGGTTAGAGTATTCCAGCATCAGCTTGCCTAGGCTGCCCTACTTCAGAGGAGTGGCACCAGGATTGGGAAGCCTGTGCCCACATCAATTTCTTTCTGACATGACTTCACTTTCCCTCGAAACATAACTTGACAATTAGGCCTTCCCTCCCAGACACACAGTGACCCATCTTCCAAGACAGAGTTGGCTCCACACTCTATGATCTCAGTCATGATCTAGGGCCTCTCCACAGTGCCTGTGCAGTAAGTGCTGTTACCATTCCATTTCACAGAGGAGAAGACTGAGCTGATGAACTTTCAGTGACTTGCCCAGGGTGCACACCCTTCCCCACTGAGCCACACTGCCCTTCCATACCGTGCCCCAGGGACTAGCTGCTGGCCTCCACCAGCATCCTCTTGCCTGGTGGGGGCTTCCCAAACGAGGCATTTTCATAGCCTAATCCCCTCCTTTGCTCCAAGTCTAACCTGAGCAACATACTTGGGAACTTCTAGGAGGGAAACTAAGAAAATAAAGTGCTTCTTCCAGTTATGGCTTCATCTAAAGAAGAAGGGAGCTATTACAGGTGGTGACAGGATGCAGCTGTTTGTAGCTGTGCAACCTGGCCTGTCTGCAAATGCGCAACTGCACAGGCTTGGCCCCACTCAGCTGTACAATTCACTGTGCACCCAATTAATGGGATGCAAAACCATGACCCCCTGCCATTCCACACATCAAAGGGTAAAACCAACACACCTCCCCTCACACAGAGCAACAGACTCATACCATATGACCTCATTTGGATTTTTGGACAATTTATGTAGTTGCTCTGGGCTTCAACACCAATGGACAGCAATGCTTTGGGCCACAGCTGAAAGTAACTGGGTAAAGGCAAGGACTTTGGTTTTTCAGTCTGAAAAAATACAAGAGCCTCTATCCTCCAGCAGGGTTAAGCCAGAATATGCAACATTCAGGGAAGTGGTGTCCCCAAAGCCCCAAAGAGGTAAAGATTTTATCAGGGTATTATCTTCTCAGACTGACAGACAGCCTGTCTTCTGAATGCTTCGTGATATTATGTTCTCATTTAGCCCCAGTCTGTCTACCTGTCTCTCTCTGAGAGCTTCTGGACTCTTGGGTGGGGTCGGGGGAGTGGTCAAACTTCTCGATCAGCACATTTCTCAAGATCCTTCCATACCTCCAAAGGCCAAGGCTTGGCTTGAGAAGGTGTCTTAAACAGGCTCACAGTCACTGTCAGTTTCCTTTTCCCCAGAGTCACAGATGATCGGCCCATTACTAATATCCCCAGAGATGTGATTGCTGCAGATACTAATAACGCTGTCCATATTCCGAGTGCCAATGCCAATAATGCTCTGGGTATTATCACTGTGAACACCAATAACTACTGCTGAGATTGTCTCCAATAATGCCAGCACATGCTGCAGTGATTGTCCTCGTTAATGCCCACCACCGGGACATTGTTAGAGCTGAAGAATAGGTTGAACTGTACCCAGAGGCAGGAGCTGGAGAGGCTTCCTTGAGCACACAAAAGCTCACAAGTTGCCCTTGGAGTATGATGCTTCTAGGGAGATGCACCAGCACTTGGGGCCAAAGGAGGGCCAGCTTGAGGGTCCTCCTGGAGGGAGCTGTGTCTCTCCACCCCCTCAAGGTCTAGTCTCCTAGTTTCCACCCCAAAGCCCCTCATTCCCAAGTCAGTTTTGTCTTTCACCTGCAGTGTTGACCTGGGGCTGAAGGACACACCTGGGTGTCTGGGTAGCTCCCGCCTGAGCGGCCTGCCAGCTGTTGTGTTACCTTGGCCTGACTGCAGAGTTGGGCTACATCATCTTGACACATAATTATCTCCCCTATTCTTAATCATCTGAGCTGCTCCCTGATGCAAACTGGGTCTGGCTGCTTGGAAGCACCCTGTTTGGGGGTGCGGGGGTGGCTGTGAAAGGTCTGCCATTGCTCTTGCTTCTCCCTGCCCACCTGGGTAGACGGGTCAAGTGTGAGTGTGTGTGTGGAGGGGGTTGAGGGGGAGGATCAGGGAGAACTGGCCTCCCTCATAGCTCTGGCCTCTACCAGGGAAAGGACAGCTCCGTCTGGTCTGAGGTTGGCCCAGATAAAGGAGGATTCAGGGCAAGAAAACCCCTCCCCACCAAAAAGAAGTAGGGCCTCTGATCTTTTGTGCCACCTGGCTAGGCCCAAGAGCTAAGTAGTAAGAGGAGACTTAGAGGCCCCCATTATCCCTCACCTATTCCTGAGATGTCTCCCCACTGCCAATATCATTACCCTGCTGGGGGATGGTCTTCCAAAATCCAGCCTTGCTCTTCTCCCTGCCTGCTCGGACATGTTTGGTGGCTACTCATGCCTGCAGAAAAAAGTTCAAACTCCTTATATGGTCCAGTCTTGGCCTGATCTCCAAGACCCTAACCCATCTCCTTAGCCTTACCTCCCCTAGCATTCCCTCATGCCCTTTCACCCCAGCCAAAGAGCCTCTGCATTGCCTCACCACAGCACCTTCTGGTCACAAGGCTCAGTCTACCAGACAGATTTCACACTCCATTGTCTTTAAACATGCCCCTCATTCATCCATCAGACCCCTCCTCAAAGATAGGCGTCCCTGGCAGTTTACTCCCTCCCCCTTGGGAACTCCATGGCCTGTAACCCAGACCTCCATCGCAGCAGATATCTGATGGGCCTTTCTGCTCTCTGAGCTCACATATTTTACATGCCCCACTAGACTATAAGCTCCTTAAGGACAAAAATCATATCTTGTTCTGCTTTGGGATCCTCTAGCACCAAGCCTTTCTTACAACTGATGCACAGGAAAGGTTCACTGAATTGAATTGACTTGAAACAATGAATGTGATCAATCGCTCAGAGGAGAGCACTCTGTTCTGGGCCAGCCGGGCCCGACCCTGGGTGGCCACAGTCTCGTGCCAGTGCTTCCCTACCCCCAGCCTCCTTTCATGTACCATAGGAAGCCAGGAAGCAGAAGGCATGCTTGGCCCCAACCACAGACCAATGGGGGAGAGTACAGTGGGGATCCTGTGGCCTCCCTTGGCCCCCTGGGTATCTCACACTCTAAAAAATGCACAGGCCAGTGGTTAAAGGAGAAACCCTCAGGGTCTAAGGCAGACTCTTCCAAACCATTAAGAGTGCCAGGGCATTTGTATAAAGCCTGAGTGTGGGAAACCCCCAGGGAGAAATGGGACTTAGGGCCTTTCACAAAGCCTCCCCCTGCCCATCAGGGGCTGCCGCCAAAACAACCACAATGAAATTTAGTGAGTGGCAAAGGCCGTGGCAGCCAAATGGATTTGGATATTTTGGAAGAAGGAGAAATAGAGCCAGACAAGCTGTTTCCCTGTGAAACGAGGCCATTAGGGCTTCTGGAAGGAGGCCAGCACCAGGTCATCACTCTCTTGCCAGACCTAGGCCTCTCTACACTCTGTCCCTTCTGCTGGAGGCCAGGCCTAGGGACTCTCATTTGTCCCTTTCCTCTATTCCTTACCCACTGAAGTTGCCCCAGCCAAGAGCTTGCATCCCAAATCATGCTTGGGATGCCCATGATTTACTGTCCAAACAGGACATGTTTGAGAGAAAAAGGAGATGCTGACTGAACAAGATGCAGGGACAAAAGGCATAAACTGGGACTGTCCTAGACTAATAGGATATATGGTCATTCCCTTTAAGCTCATCTTTAGAGGGTCCTGTCTATTTCATGGAAAGTACCCTTAAAATCACATGCCCTCCCTAGACTGGGAAGTCTCTGCTTCTGAGGCAGGGACCATGAGATTGGGGCAAGAAGCAGGCTCCATAATCTAGTGTTTCCTTTTGTCTGGGCCTGCCAGCCCTGTGCCCTGGCCCTGTGCATCAGAAGAGAACCAGACGGTCACCAAGGGACCCCTAATGTCACAAGATTTGAAAAACACCTTCTCCCAGGCTCATTGACACCACCCTCTCCTTTTCCTTTCCCCTCTCTTCCTCCTCTTCATTTCACGCCGCCTTTAACTCCCTGCCTAACAGCCTGGCTGCACTTTGAGGTATTATAGGGGCAAGGAAAAGGGTCAGAAAGACTGAGTGGCATCTTCTCCCACAGAGAAGAGTACTGAGGGGCCCATGGCCAGCTCTCAGAATGGTTTAATGGGGGCAGTGTCCGTGTGTCACAGAGAAAGGACACCAGGTCAGCGGCACGTGATATTGCTGCCCCATCTCCTGACAGGCTGGGATCAGGTGAGGATATGGCAGGTCAGCCTTTCATCCTCAGGTCAGAGACCAGCTATCCCCCAACCTCCAAAATGTTTCCAAGATACATGGGCCATGGTTCTCCTCCTGGCATCCCACTGGGATATTCGGGGTGAGACCCAGTGGAAGGCGAGGCGGTCAGGGCTGCTGAGCAGATGGTGAAGCCAATGCACCCTCCCCACCAGCAGCCTGCCTCCCTCTCACCAGGAGCCAGCAGGGCAGTGGGGGGACCTGGGCTTTGCTACTAAAACTGATCTCACAGCAGAGCAGCTGTGAGGCCAGCCCGAAACCGGAGCTCTGTGTCCGAGGACAAAGCATGCGCGGGGGCAGCCAAGCCTCTTCCCTCCTCCCTACCTTCATCACGTTTCCTCTTCTCGCCATTGGAGCGAGGGATCCCCAGGATCCCGTTGATGGAGTAGGATCCCACTGGATCGTTGGAGGCGCTGGAAACAGGAGGGGAGGCCGTACTGGGAACTGAACGAAAGTAAGGAGGAAATGCCATCAGGATAGCAGTTGTGAGCACAGGTCAAAGCCCCAAGGCTGGGGGCAGAGGAAATAAAGAGGGATGGGGAGTCCATATTCCCATTCTTCATTCCCCTGAGGAGGAATTTCAGGTTCCCTGAATCTGAGGTTTAAGGGGGAACGCATGGCTACATACAGCCCATATGCAGGCCATTCACTGTCCAGCCCTGGGCTAAGTAGTGACCAGTTAACCCTAGGCCTCTGAAAATCTACAGATTTCACTGGGTCCCTTAAACTCACTTCCCTGAAGATGGATGGAAACCCAAAGCTAACTCTACCTAGAAAACTCCTCGGCGGTCCTGTAGAGAGCACAGCTCCTAGGATGCCTCCTTGCACAGGTTGTCCAGGCCCTGGGGCCAGGCAAATCCTTCTAAACAAACCCCAGCTTGTCTCTGGTCTCTTGAGCTGAGTCTACTAATCTCAGTTTGTGTCTGTGGCTTTCTAAGATCCGTCTGGGATTCTCCAGAAGACACAGAATGGTCCTGATATTCCCTGGGGGTGCACTGCTTATCCTTTCCATTTGCTCTGGTCTTGAAATCACTTGAGAAGGTCCTAATTTCCCCCTCAGGCTACAAACTAGTGAACACATTCACTCCATGGTGATCAACTCAGGTACAGCCCGGCCCAACCCTCTCTCCAGCACATGCTGTAACACAGGCCTGGTAAACAACAGCTCCTGCCAACTCCAGGAGGCCTGGGACCAGCCAGTTCTACTTTCTGCTGGTCAAGAGAGAAGAAGACAACTGCTGAGAGTGGCAGTAGGAAAAGTCTGACCACATCCCAGCCCCGCAAATACCGGGCCTCATCTATACTACAGTAGTACCAAGTGCCCTTGGGCCCAAGGGGAGACAGCAGTGAAGGGTGGGCTATTAGCAGGTGCTCTGGTAGGCCTGGGCCATGTCTGTGAGGGACCATGAGCCAGGACCGGTAAATCAGGAGGTTGGCAAGAGGTAGAGAGTCACACAGGGGTTGAGGGAGAGACAGAGCTCAACAGAGACAGGCCAAGAGGAAAGAGGCCACGTGGAGGGAGGGAGAGGGACAGAGGAACAGATTTAGAGATACACACATGAAGAGGAGAAAAGAAAAGAGAAAGAGAAAAGCAGGGGTGGTGGGTGGAGAAGAATAATTTTAAAAATAAACAAAATAAAAAAGGAGTAAGAGAGTAGATATGAAAGAAAGAGGGGCATGTAGAGAGACAGAGTCAGACAAAGACAAAAGAGGGAGAAGAAGGAGGAAGGGAAGGAGAAGAAAAGCTAAAGGAAAAATAATGATTTAAAGAGAGAGGAAGGAGAGGCAGTGGCCAAGGCAAGGTGGCTGCAGGGAGGCGTGGGCGGGCGGTGGACAGTCCCCCGGGAGATCCTGAGTCTCCAGAGCTGGGCAAGTGGCCCGGTCTTGGGCCTTAGGTGGGTAGCAGGTGGGCAGTTCCCAGAGAGCATACCCCGGCTCTCCTGGCTGGGACCCAGCTCCCCCCTTCCCTCAGCCCTCTTACCGATGGTGTGGCCAGGTGCAGTCACTCCTGTCCCAGCCCCATCTGGCGTTGGGTGGAAAGGCTGCTGAACTTTGGTCCGGATGATCCTGCAACAGCATGACAACAGCATCGCATCACATGCCCTCTCCTCCTGGGCCACCTCCGGCCCAGTCCTGCAGAGGAGCACTCTCAAGCTCCTCAGCTCCTCCGTTGTCCATCTGCAACCTGTGCTCCTGCCCTCACTGACTACTGCAAGGTACGAACTTTCCCTCCTGTGGGCTCTGCGAATCCACGCTGGTACAACTCCGGACAGAGGCAGTTGGCATTCTGTCTGGCCATGAGCATCATCTGAATTGCAGCTTGACTTTTAATAGCAAGGATCAGGGCAGCAGAGTGGAGCACAGTTTCCTTCCATTTTCAGGGGGTGGGTGGGGCATGTCCCCTGGTGGCTTACTGTCCACCCTTCTCTAACCACATGCAAATCCCCTCCTGGAAACAGGACTCCCTGTGTCTGGAGATACTTTTGGAGCTGGTTTTCCTATTGGAACTATATCACAGTCCTCCAGAGCCAGGGGAGGGGGTGAGATTACCCCCTTTATTGAGCTAAGGAGAGGCAGCCAGAGAGGGCTGAATTACAGGGGACCCTTTCTTCCCCAAGATTCCAAAACAGCACATGGTCCCTTTGACAGATGTCAGGCTCTGAACAACTTCTTGAGCCCTTTGACTACTCTTAAACCAGTCGAAGCCCTGTCCCTGTACATCTTGGTGGCCTGAAGGCCTTTTCTAAGGTCCTACCTGGAGTATAGCCTCTTTACCAATCTCACTAAAAAGCCTGGTGTCTACCCTGTGCCCTCCAGGGTTGGGAGACCACTTCAAACACCCCAGGGCTGGAGACTGGCCTGCTTGTTAGTGATCTGAAAGGCACAGGGCTCAGTGATGCAAAAAAGCAACCTTAGGGACAGCACTGAGAAATGCTCCCCTCCATCCACTGGTCAAATCAGATGTCCTTGGGAGCAACTTTTCCTATGGCATTGCTCCTCCCCACAGAAATGTGTGTGAGCCAACTTCACCAAAACCGGCCAGGTAAGTCACAGGCCATGAGTGGACTCCACTCCAAGCAGCTTTTATGAGCACTCACAGGCAACAGAGATAAGTCCCGGCCTCACAGTGCTGGGAGTGACGTTGGAGAGCCAAGATACACACCCCAAAAAAGCTAAGTAATCTCAAGGGGGCCAGGCAAGTACCAGAGGAGGCAGAGGAGGAATCACCCCCTTGGAGGGGGGAGAATTGGGAAAGAAGTCACTGAGGAGGTAGAACCTGATGTCAATATCAAAGCAGAGAAGGGCTGGACAGATGCAGGGGCCGGAGGCATGGAGGCTAGTGGGAAGGGCGCTGAGTCCTGCTGCTGACTCTGCCATTAAGTGGCCCTGCAGCTTTGGGCTCCTCATTCTACTTCCCCAGGCCTTAGTTTCTTTAGCTATTAAGTGAAAAACTAAAAGCTGTATAAGACCTCTAAGATCTTTTTCTCCAATGAAAAATAATATGATTTTAAGATGAACAAAGAAGCAGAGAAGGAGGCATTATAAGCAGGTGCCAGAGGATGGCAGAGGCAAAGCACAGAAGCCGAGTGAGCATGATGCTTTAGGTTAACGCCTACACCAGTCAGCCAGGAACAGCGGAGGTACATAAGGGAGAGAGAGGAAAGATGGCTGCAACCGGGAGATGATGATGGTAAGATCAATTTTCCACTCATTGTGGCAACATTATATGCAACTTATATTACTTATATGTACTGCTGTTAATTTTCACAACCTGCAAAGTAGATACTATTATCCTCATTTTGCAGATTGAAAACCAAAACTGACAGGGTTAGGTAGCTAACTCAAAAACATACTGCCAGGGGCAGAGTTAGAATTCATTCTCTAAAATGTATGCTTCTTGTTACTTTGTCATACTTCCCCCAACTTACAGGAACCAGGTTTAGAGTCTCAAGCCATGAGCAATTTCTAAACTAGAGAGGGGACATGTATACAAACTGATCCCAGTAAAGCAACATACAGACACAGGGCAATGAGGCGCTGGTCTCAGGAAAGGAAGAGAAGAATTTGCAAGACATAAAACCAGAATAGCCAGGATTTGGAAATTAACTGGAGTCAACCATAGCTCTTAAACCCCAATTCTGTGTAACTGGAGGAAGGCTGGTGTTTGTACCACAGTCAGGAAGAGGAATGCAGGGAAGTGACTGGTTTTGTCCTAAACATGCAATATTTGAGGTGGTAGGGGAGAGTCCAGGAGGGCATGGCCATGCATCAGTGGGCACAGCACATATGAATATAGGAGACTGTCAAGGAAAAGAGTATTGGTGGGGACAAGAGGCCTAAGGTGTGGGTACTGGTGGGCATCTACATTCATAGGCTGAGGAAAGAACCTGACCTTGCAGAGGGGTCAGAATTGGTCAAATAGAAAATTGACAGTACCAGGATCAGGCAGTTTCACTTCAGTCAATGGAAAAGAGCATTTCCAGGAGCACCTAACCCACAGCATCAAGAGCAACATAAAGACTGAAGGGAATTGGGAATAAGAGAAGGGAAAGATTTGGGGATTTTGGTGACCAGTAGGGACCTAGGAGACAGTGGTCTCCACAAAGCAACTGAGGCAGGAGCCAGACAGAAAGAAGGTAAGGAGTGAACAGGAGGAGAGGGAAACAGCAAAAGTAAACTACAATCTGCGGAAGTTTGTAGAGTAGGAAACGAGAGGAACATGTGGAAGCCAGAGGATGGAACTGGTAGCTGAGGGGAGGGGACGCTGTTTTTAACAGGAAAGACCTGGATACGTCTGCAGGCTGAGGAGGAAGAACCAGTGAAGCGGGAGAGAATGAAGTTGCCTGAGAGAACATGTATGGTGGCAAGAGCAGGCCCAACAAGGAGGGATGGCATGGAGCCGTGGGGAGGAGTTAGCCAGAGGCCACATATTTTGAAGTGGCCAAAGCTTTTGAAAAGGAGCTTTTACAATTTTTATCTCTCAGCAACAGAAGCTTGTAAGGTCATCTCCCAAGAGTTGGGGGAAGGTTTGGAGCAGGATCACAACGAGAAAGATGGGACAGTAGGTGAGGGCACTGTAGACTAGTCTGTAAGAAAAGTCTTGAAGGAGGCTAAGCAGCTCAGAGCAGCTGCCCCTAATTCATTGCAGCAAACGCTTCTGGGATGTCACCACGCCTGCTGCAGGTGGATCTGGCTTGAGGGCTGATGAGCTCTGGACTAAGGGAGACTGGACTAAGTGCTGAGCACAGGGCTGGGGTTGGTGGAGACTGATAACTGGATGGCCTTGTGGAGTTTGTCTTTGTTACTGAGAGCCTCAAAGCCCTGAGGCACTGTTGCAGATTTAGCTGAGGCAGCAAGTGATGGAAAATCACTACTTTCTGACAGCCGCTTGGTGGTGCATGGGAGAGGAGCTGGGCAGGGCACCCGCTGTGAGTTACTGTTGCTCCTGGTGTCCATCCATGTCCCCTGGGCAGTGGGCACTGGCCAGTCCCCAGAGCTGATCTCAGGGAATTTCAGAACTGGAATCATGGAAACCTGTTGGTCATTCATTGCCCTTCTGCATCCTATACATAACCCAATGACTCATGGAAATATCACTAGGGGTTAAAAGGATACAGTAAAGCCGCTGCTTTCGGTAACTGCATGAGACTATTTCTTCTTGTTCCACTCCTCCTCTATTTCTTTTTTATTCTTGGCCCTACAAGAAAGCCAGACACATCTATGGCCTCCATGGCCCCAGCACGTTTGGCCTGGAAAGTCAAGTCCCTGGATATGAAGGTGAAGTAGGGAGCCCTGGAGGGCACATCTCTACTTGGGACTTGGAAATCCATTTCCTATTTGCATGGAAAGACTGCCCTGTCAGGGTGCCTGCTCCCCTCCCTTCACAAGGATGCTCCTTCTTCCCCACCTTTCCTGGGACCCTCCAGGACTTTGCCTGGACCCAGCACAGGACTTCAGGTACTTGCCATCTCCCACACTCACCAGGGTGTGACCAGAACAAAGGGAATTAGGGTGTGGGCTCTGGGTTCAGTCTGCCTGAGTTTGAGTCCCAGTTCTGTTATGGCCTGTAAAACCCTTGGCAATTTCTTATTCTCTCACCTGCAATATAAGATAACACTATGTACTTCCTAGGACTGTTATAAGGATTAAATAAGGGTAATCCATATAAAATTATCAGTGTGATGCTTGGCTACTAATAACAGCTGCTAGTATTATTTTTCCTATGGGTGACCCTTAGGACTGGCTGTTTTCTATGCAGGGGCTGAACCAGGTACGGGCAGAAGGCCTCTCAGTCCAACATGCCCCAGACAGGTCAATGAAGCTGCTACAGAGACCCTGGGAAGAGTGCTGAGGAAACAGGGAACAGCAGCAGCAGGTGTCACAGCCTGACCCAAAAGGAGGTGCATCAGAGAGTTTCTCGGGAAGACAGACTTGGGACCTGTGCCTGGGAGCCCTGGGTAGGATTCACAGTGTGAGCAGCCACTCCTTTGTGACCCAAGAGATGCCCAGGGGGTGTGGCAGAGCTTTAAAGTAAAGGATGACAAGGCAAGTGAAGTCAATCCCTCCTTAGTTAAATTCCCAGGAGGTCTCTACTTCCCACCAAGCTGGAGATCAAAACAGTCTCATCAGCTCTGTGAATTAGAATAAAAGCATGTAATGAGTCTACTATTAACAGTTTGTTTAGCTCGTGAAGAAACAGAGAAGCTCAACAATCTAAGAAAGCACTAGGGAGAGTCTCACTCCTCTTCTGGTTCTGGTCCTTTTCTCTTACTGCTCCTCCTCTCATTCCCTCCGCCAGGTTTCATTCTCTGTCTTTCTCCCATCTCTGAGTTTCTCTGCCCCTCTCCTGGTCTCTCTGCTCTTTGTCTGTCTGTCTGTCTCTGTGCACCCTGAAGTCCCACTGTGGCTCTGTGAGTTTATTGATTTCTGGGAGCTAGGGGAAAGTGGGAGGCAGGGCTGGGGTACAGGCTCAGGGATGGAAATAGAAGGCTATAAATTATTTCTGACAGGAAAGCAATAGTGGCAGAGTGCTGAGCACAAGTCCTGTGTCACTATTAGATTCCTTT